AAATAAAGAATTTTGCCGGATCGAAAAAAAAAATGCGACTTTTTGTTGATTTTGAGTTGGATCCAGCGATCGCAACATTGCTAAAAACTAGGGGGTCTGACTGCTGAACAAATGGGCACTAATGCACTCTATTCTGTAAAATTGAATGGTACAAATCAGAATGCAGTGGGGCTGTGCGATTTGGGGAAAATATCAATTGAGATTTTTGTTTATTTTTATTTTTTTTGACATTGCGATTTCGATTTGATTTGCGAATTTGTAGTCAAGCTTTAGCTCAATAATCTGTATCATAGCTTCTTACTGCTAAAGTGCAGTGAGTGTTAGTTAAAAAAAGAAATTGAAAAGATATCAATAAACATTTATTCAAATTTGTTTTTAAATATTCAGAAACTCTCATTTTTCTCTGGCGCAAACAGTAAGCACAAATAAAATGACTCTACCTTTCTGTAAACACAATGAACTCAAATTAGGGAGATAGTGTAGCATATTAATTAATAAATAAATAATAAATAATAATAATAGTAATAATAATAATAACAAATAAATAATAATTATAAAAATACAGAACACTCAGCAAACTAACATGGCTTATAAGAGCCTTTCTGTAGCTTATTTTGTCTAGAGCAAAATAATTATCCCAGATGCTACACAAAATATCATAACGTTAAACGTACAGCCGTGGTACTCCAAAATGGCTGCATTTAGATGCGTTTTATTTAAATCCCTCTTTAGTCACTGCTTTAAAAGGTATCGTGTCTTTAGCGAGGTTATGCGTTAAATCTCCTGGGTAGGGTTGCACCAGTTTTGCGTAAGTTCTTTCGTAAACTGGAAGGTAAAGTTCTCACTAGTGGCTTAGTAACTACTAGCTAGTTTGAAACTAAATTTGTGAATTTGTGAACATGTTCTTAAAGCAAACCGTAGTTAGTAGGTTGTAAGCTCTTTGTAAAGTCATGCGAATAGTCGCATTAAATGACGTAATATGCAATAAGAAGCATTTAAATTGTTTAAATAAATGCTTTAAAATTCTGCAAATAATGCATTTATATATAACTGTCCTATGAAAATGAAATGACATTTTTAAAGTAAATTACATTACAGCCGGTCACTATAGATGAAGCACACACCTGCATCGCAAGCCGTGAATGCACACGAAATAAACAAAGTTATCAAAACATTAAACTTTCATTTTTATGCGTTCCGTATAGTTCGGCTGTGGAATTCTGAAGTGTGCTCACCTAATCGGCTAGTAAGACTGTCACACACAGATGGCAGTCACGCATTTCCTCAGGGTGGGGGAAATTAAATAATGCATATTTCATATCGCACCTTCTTGCGATTTGATTTCGATTAATCGCACAGCCCTAGAATGCAGGGATATGATTGGATGGGAAGGGTATGGGGTGGAGCAAAGTTGACAATAGATTTAGGCCCAATCCCAATTCTACACCTTAGCTCTTCCGCTTACCCAAATTCTGGGGTGTCCCAATTCTCTTTAAAGGCGTAGGGCTAAGGGAAAGGGCTAGATGCCCCTTGAAACTGAGATTTTTCAGGACCATACTCGAAACCAAGGGAAAAGAAAATTTCCCAGAATACACCAGCCACAATAGCAGCACTAAGTCAGGAGATGCACAAATTAGTATTTTTTTGTCATTATTACGATGCTTTACAACAAACAAGCACATGTTTTAATACACTCATAACCGTGTACGTGTTTTACCGTCATGCTTTTAAATAAAAACGCTAAAACGAAAACTGCTAACTCCTGTATAGCAGTCCCACAACATTCTGACACTCAAGTACCCTGTCAGTAATGTCTAGTGGCTGGGAATGGGTTTTTTACAGTGTCTGCTATAATGTTAATGTTGTTTTTGTGTGTTTACAAAGATGAATATGACCACTGTGTAAATGCACAGTACAGTTACGAACTTATTGCCACATTTTATACTTAAGATAACATAATATGTGCCTTCAGTGATTTCCTGAAGATAAATACTGAAACAATAAAGCAACTGGAATAACTACAGCAGTCACTATCATCGATCTCATACGAAGCAAAAGATCGCAATGACATTTGATGATGTGTGCAGGTGCTGTAGTGCTGTCCCATTTCTTAGGGGTAAATTTTGAAGGGGTAGGGCTACAAAAATAGAATTGGGATTGGGCCATATTTCATATTAATGTGATAAGTCATGACAAATCACACTTTAAGTTCTGAAACAAACCATTTAGATCAGGTCAGTTTCATTTCATGGGGACTTTAAACATGTTTAGACTTAATTTTGCAGTTTATCATGCTGTTTGTCCACACAGAACTGACTATGGGACATCTGTGTTCTGTTTGTTAAAACCTGAAAGAAGCAAAACTAAAAACTTGCACTTTGTAAGTCATTGTATGATTCACCTTTCAGATTCAGTTTTCAGATATTAAAAATGACTGATGACCACGTTGATCGTTTGTTTCGTACTTTATTCAGACGTTATAAACCCTAATTACATCTAAAACATCTTTTGATTCCTCACATTTTCAATATATTAAGGCTTTTCGTTAAACGGGAAAAGAAAATATCTATCAAGACCTGAAGTGTTCATCACACGAGTTACTGAAACTGACAGAGGTGGATTTTGCTAAAAGATATTTCAGTAAAATATGAAATGGATTATTTGTTCTGCCTTTGAAAAACTAGAACTGTTAGATGAAGCGTTTGACCAAGCAGAATAAACGCCTTTATGGAAAAGTTCTACTTAAACATTCGTTTTTCCTCTTGAAAGCGGCCATGTTGATGCGCTCTTTACATTCTGCTTTGGTGATATGATGTAGAAATATATCAGATTTATATACAGGTTTGTGCAAATCGTTGCATCCGAGCAGGCAGATTTGACAAGAATCATAGTTGTGTGAATCCATGATCATGACAATAAAACAGTTCAAATGTGAAAAGAAACAAGCTTCCTGATCGTGTAGTACCACAACATGCAGCGATGCACATCATGCATGTCACACAAGATATCGAAGTCATACGAATGCTGGAATGCAATAATGATGAAATAAAGCAATAAATGGATGAAGAGATCAATTAGCAAAAACGGATAAACCACCATTTTTAGTATTTTACTAAAATTTTGTTTTTTCCAATTTGTTCTCTTTAATACGCAAATGTAAAAACATCAAACAATTGTGGAAATTATTTATTTTAAAAAACCTTTCCATAAATTATGTTTGTTTGTTAGTTTTGTTTTTGCTATTTTGCTCTTCAATGCTCAACATAAAAACGTTACATCTGGAAATGACTAAAAATGAAGTTGTCTGATTGGCTAATTAATCTTTCGGATGATCCAAGCAGGGTTCCCACACTCTTAAGGCTTATACTGTGCGTCGAGTGATCGCGTGACCCACGACACTTTAGCCATACATTTATACTTCTGCGTGCTGTTTGTGTTGCTCTGCAATAACACTTCCGAAACACTAGATGGCAGATCAAACTCGCTCATTCAGAAGCGGGAACAGACAAGCATGCAATAACCTTTATCATAAGGTAAACCGCAAACAAAAGTTTCCATCTGGAGCTCCTTCATGGGACTCGACACTTGTAAACACTCGCTTCAGCAGGTTCGCTTGGGTCTCGGCCACACGTTAGCGCTTCCAAGCCGACCAATCACAAAGCTTGCGCTTTGCATCGTTGAGACTCATACATTTGTAAGAGTTACAGTTTTAAGAGTTACATTTTTGAGAGGTCAGCATCAGCCATGGCGATGTGACTGCATGAAGGCTACGCCGAAGAATACGCGTTAGCTTGATGCAGAAGTATAAATCAGCTTTTAAGCTGCAAATATAAGGGTAATATACAATTGTGAAGTGAAAATAAATCATATAAGTGTTTAATAGTAAATGTATATTTTCCTTGCGCCACACTGAAAAGGGAAATTAATTCAAACCTGCTCATAAAGGAAAAATTGGTTACAATTCAAAATAAGATTACATTAGTTAACGATGAACTAACACGCAGGTGTCAAACAGTTACAAGCCGCAGCTCTGCACAGTTTAGCTTTACCTCTAATTAAACACACCTAATTAAACTAAGTAAGTCTTTCAGGCTAAGTGTGTTGAAGCAGGATGGGAACTAAACTGCGCAGAGCTGTGGCCCTCCAGGAACTGAGTTTGACACCCCTGAACATTAACTAAGTATGAATAAATCTTGTGTAAATGATAGTTTAATATTTACTAATGCAAATCTAGATTTAGATAATGCACTGCGATTAAACAAGAACAAACAACACGACTTTATTTTCAGTAAGCAGCATTAAAGGGGTCATGAAATGAGAAATCAAAATTTAGTTTATCTTTTTAAAATAAAAGAGGTCATCATACTATAGAAACACCCTGTAAGTTTCAGAGCTCAAAACCTTGTTGTTAGTCTAAAAATGGCTTTTAATCTAAGTAGTCTGACAAAACGAAAAGAAATGGACTGTTCTTTTCTGTGATGTAATAAGGTGGATAAGCCCCGCCCCGCAGAAGATCAACGACTCAATTTTCTGCACTTAATATGCAAATAAATAAACCTAATATGCCAAAATGATAGCCAATCACAGCAGTGGGGGTTCACTTTTATGTCTACACTGTAGAAAACATCTGTAAATTAGCAGTTGTCTGTATTTTGTGATTCAAGTTTTTATTTTACGCCATTTATTTATGCTTTTGAATTGCATTACAGGACCTTGATCGTTTTTTCAACAACTTTTAACCTTAAAAAGTTGGAAAAGGTGACTATGATGAACATTTTTAATGGTTTAAAGTGATATATTGTCTGGGTTGGTGTTGTATATTACTCTACAACAACCATGTATTAAACTGTCAGATCATTTTCTGTTATTTTACACACTTATTTCTCTCTATATATTATTTCTAATGCATTATATTATTTCAAGCTTCTCAAATGTCAATAAAACTCACTTCGTTAAACTGTAGAGTTGATTTTTCAACATCAAAAGTGGACAGAGCAGAGATCAACCTCCCATAATGCAATTCACAATCGTAAATAACACTGAAAACACTTGTGAATCACAAAATACTGAAACTGTTAATATTTAACATCTTTTACAGTGTACAATTCATCACGCTAATACAAACAAAGTGCAAAAACAGCACTGAAAATAGTCAAATTTTGTATAAATGATGATGTTTTGATGTACAAATCTTCATGACGTTATTGGTGGACCTCAGAGAACAGTACAAAATAAAATCCTTAGGCAGTTCGTGACGGCTTTAACGAAAATACTGTAATGTCTTGTACATTATTTGTTCATGTAAATTATGAAACCTTATTGTAACGTTCCCAAAAATTAATGCATTTACTAATATACTCGAGCAATATACAATACATTACAGTATTTGTTCATTGTTAGTTTATGTTAAAAGCATGGATGTTAATAATGCTTTAATAAATGTCAAACTGAATAATAAATGCCATACAGGTATTGTTCATAAGTAGGTCATGTTGGTAAAACAATGAACTGATGGCACCTTATTGTAAAGTGTGAACAAAAATTCCTTAGCCTCAAGGTGTGGGAACCCTTCTATTTTAAAATGAAAAGAATTGAATGGAGACATTTCGTAACATGTTGTAAAACTGTGATTATTCTCTAAGTGCTTTTAGAGTGGAGTTTTAGCTCTGTTCACATCTTCTCCTCTTGACGATGAGTGTGAACCGGCCGTCGTTGAGGTTTTTGATGAGAGTCCAGGCTTCGAAGCGTGTGAGACCCTGCAGAGAAGAGTCCTGGATCTGCAGCACCTCGTCTCCAGACTTCAGCCCCTTCTGTTCCGCATCACTCCCTGACAGACAACATAAAATCTGGGTAATTCATCTCCAAATCAGGGTTCCCATGCTTCTTGAATTTCACACACTATGAATTCAAGGCCTGGAAAGTACTTAAAAACAAGTATAGGTCCTTGAAAGTGCTCAAAGGTAACATTTATGGTGTTATTTTAACAATTGTACTGCACTAATTTTTTAAAACCGTACAAAAAAATAGAAATTCTTAATTTAAAAATCTCGACTTCTAGATGATAATTTGGAAATGTGGCAGGAGGCCGATTTTTTTAATGAATCATCTGTTGAACTGCATCCTAATCATCAAAAATACTGCAGAAGACCTACTGCAACCCAAGATTCTCACAGAAATCAGTCTAGTTTAATGGTGGGAAAAAAAAATTGGCCAGCCCGGTCGCCAGACATGAACATTATTGAGCATGTCTGGGGTAAGATGAAGGAGGAGGCATTGAAGATGAATCCAAAGAATTCTGATGAACTCTGGGATTCCTGCAAGAACGCTTTCTTTGCCATTGCAGATGACTTGATTAATAAGTGATTTGAGTCATTGCAGAGATGTATGCATGCAGTCCTCCAAGCTGATGGGAGTCAGACACAATATTCATACTGCTTCCACTGCAGCATGACTTTATATTCTATACTGGACATTATTTCTGTTCAGTGACATGACTTTTGTCTAAGCAAAGTCAGAGCTTACTGTCCTAATTAAGTAATTCAACATCAAGACATGATCATATTTTAGAGGCCTTTGCCTTTCATATAAGCCACTTCTGATACCAAATGATCAACTAGAAGTCCAGTTATTATATGTTGTTCCCAAAACTTGGATAGGTGACAAGACTTTTGTCGGGTAGTGTATAATTGTTAGCACATTAATGAAGATGGGGCTTAAAAAAAAAAACTACACACATCACCTAAGACAGACTATACACGACAGATACAAGACATAAAAATATTGTGCAAGATATTGATAATATATTAAAAGAGATATTTAAGGTTGGAGAAAACAAGCAGTGCAGCATGATTGTGCGGTACATTCACAAGTAAACATTGCTTTTCCTATTAAGGCCTTGTAAGATGGAGTTTAAGTAAAGTGTGTGGTGCAAATTGAGAAAAGAGTATTTCTACAGGTGGTTTATCAAACCCACTCACGTGTTTGAGGCAACACTTAAAATGCACAATGTTTTTTTTTTTTATATATATATATAGAGAGATATGAAGCTATTTTAAGAAATCTATAATATCTTTAGTGAGAACATTTCTGCAGAATTTGAAAACTGCAAAAGGTTGTACAATGGAGATTACCATACTCCAACTCATTTGCATTTCTTATAGAGCAATGAAAACAAATAGTCAGCAGATTGTGCTAATTTAAAATGTACTTTTAATATAAATGATATTACATCTGTTTAGACAAGAAGAAATGTTTTAGATGTTTGATTAGATTTTACTTAACGAGTGAAACCCTGAGTATATTTAAAGACTCTAACATCGCACAGGATATGTGAAGGTGTTATACATGCTTGTAAAATTATCAACATGACAACACTGCAAACAATTTTGCTATAAGCCTGTGAATGTAAAATGGTCATTTTATAGATAATTTCAAAAATTAGCTAAATATTTGCTGATATATGAATGGAAAATTGATTTTTATTCAACTGAAAAAAAAAATTCACCAACTGCAAAACAAAAGTGTTCAAAAAGATTACGGTCTTAACATGTCTGTACTGCACTTCAGTAATGCGACTGAAATAGGAATACTCCACATGTCTTAATTCAAATTGTGTTTACGACGATTATGACTTTCAGCATATCTAAAGTGCTATTCCATCGTATTGATATGAATCTGAATGCGCGTGGCTGCAGTTGTAGCTTCTGTTGGACGCGGCAGCCTCTAAACTCAGAGGCCAGCCTAGGTTGCCAGGTGTGTGCAAATCCAATCCTGCCTCCAATCTTCAGTGCCAATTTAACCCTCACGCTTTATCATAACATCACAACTCACGAGACAACTTTTCACCTTGATGACAAATCTTGTCAAGATTTAATCTCGCGAGATCTCATCATACGAGATCTTGCCACACCCAGTTTGCATTTTCTGTTGGTTTAATTACACAATGTAACTAGAAAAGATTCAAGCTTTAGATAGGAAAACTATTAAAACTCTTTTTTTAGTTCAATTTTTCATGAAGTACTAATGGTCCAATCCGATTTAATTCACTATGCTAGGCTAAGCGACTTGTAAAATTAGCAAATTTTGAAAAAAAAAAAAAAAAGTTTCTATACCGGTTTTGAGATTTAAATTCTATTATTTTCACTGTTAATAGTAATACTGAACCATTGGAGTATGAAAAAACGATCAGTTTATGCAGTTTAAATGTACTTTTCACAGTAACGATGTGTAGCAGCATTTCTTGACTATTATGTCATAATAAGAGGAAAGTTCCTTGCAAAATATGGCTAGAAAATAGTAATTTGCATTTTCTATCAGTTTTATTATACAATTTAGAAAATTATTAAAACTTTTTTTTTTTTTTTATGAAAGGTCCAATCTGATTCTATTTGTTATGCTAAGCTAAGTTAAAAAGTGACATGGATAGAACAAGAAATTGTCTTAATGAATTCCAGAAGTCAACTGTTCCACCAATTTGAATACATTTGGCATTGTTTCTATACCGCTTTTAAGTTAGAGATTCTATTTCACTGTCAATAGTTTTTGAGGTCATTTTAATTCTCATAATTATGTGCTCATAGATGTCCAACAATGACATAAATACTATTTTCAAATACATTTTGGTTTTATGTATATCATAGTTTTGTAAATAGTAAAAAAGTTAAATCCAATAATACCATAGTAAGAACATGGTAACACTGAAAACTTTCAAATGATTCAGAGAAGCTGCTTGTCAGATATGTGTTTCTAATGAGAAATATTACATTTGACTGTTAAATAAAATAATCATTCTTCTAGTTTGCATATTTAGAATGTTTAATAATGAGGTTTATGATTTATTCTTACCTGCAAATATAATAGTAATTGATATTGTATAGCCATGCTTTTTTGACTAATACGCTACAATGAGAGTATAGTTCCTAGCAATATTGGGCTAAAAAAATAGTAATTTTACTTTACCTGTCGGATTTATGACATGATGTAACTAAAAAAGACTCAAGTTTTAAATAGTTAAAAAAACTTTTGAATGAAATGCTAATGGTCCAATCGAATTTAATTCATTATGCTAAGCTAAGCTAAAAGTGACATCAACTAAATTAAATTAAAAATGGTTTAAATCTTCTAGTTTAATTCTAGGAGACTTGTAAAATGAGCCTTTTCTAACAAATGTTGTAGTGTTGTAATGTTCCTTAAGCTTGAAATAAGTTTGTAGATTTATTAAATGCTGCACTGTTTCTATACCAAGTGTGAGTTATAAATTCTATTTGTTTCATACTAATACGTATAATACTTAGATATGTTCTCACAAATTTCCTACAATGAAATAAATACTATTTCCAAATGCATTTTGGTTTCATGTATATCACATTTCTTATAATTCCTCAGGTTTGTAAATAGTAAAAAGTTAAATCCAATAATACCATAGTAAGAACATGGTAACACTAAAAACTTTCAAATGATTCAGAGAAGCTGCTTGTCAGATATAATGGATTTTTTAATGGGAAATGATGCATTTGACTGTTAAAAAATATTCATTCTTCTACTTTGCATAATTAGAATGTCTAATAATGAGGTTTATAATTTATTCTTACCTGCAAATATAATAGTAATTGATATTCTATAGCCGTGCTTTTTGACTAATACGCCATAATGATAGTATCGTTCCTAGCAGTATTGGGCTAAAAAATAGTCATTATTTTTTACCTGTCGGTTTTATGACATGATGTAACTAAAAAAAGACTCAAGTTTTAAATAGTTAAAAAAAAAAACTTTTTTGAATGAAATGCTAATGGTCCAATCCAATTCAATTCATTATGCTAAGCTAAGCTAAAAGTGACGTGTGCTAAAATGGTTAAAATCTTCTAGATTAACTCTAGCAGACTTGTAAAATGAGCCTTTTCTAACAAATGTTGTAGTATTGTAATGTTCCTTAAGCTTGAAATAAGTTTGTAGATTTAATAAATGTTGCATTGTTTCTATACCAATTTTGGGTTATAAATTCTATTTGTTTCTGTCTTCATACTAATATGGATATTTCTTAGATCTCATAGATTTGTTACAATGACATAAATACTATTTCCAAATGCATTTTGGTTTAATGTATATCACATTTCTTATAATTTTTTCTGTTTTGTAAATATTAAAAAGTTAAATCCAATAATACCATAGTAAGAACATGGTAACACTGAAAACTTTCAAATGATTCAGAGAAGTTGCCTTTCAGATATAATGTGTTTCTAATGGGAAATATTACATTTGACTGTTAAATAAAATAATCATTTATCTAGTCCAAACATTCCCAGAATCCAGAAATAGTATGCAGATTTAGAATGTCTATTAATAAGGTTTATGATGTATTTTCACCTGTGAATATTCTGTTGACAGCTAGTGGTCTGTCTCCACTAATCGAGCCTTTTCCTCCTTCAAGACTGAATCCAACTCCTCCTGCGTTCTTCTCCAGCTCAAATGTTACGACTTCCCCTCCATCGTCTCCTAAAAGAGATTTAAAAAAAAGCTGTTTAACATGAATTGTATTGCATTGATATGCCTATTTGCTTTTAGAGCTATTTGTATGTTTTCTTAATGATGTTTGAACAATAATTAATAACACACACACACACACACACACACACTGCAAAAAAGCTGCACAAATCAAGTTCATTTACAAATTGATGGTGAATGTTTCCAGTTAAAGCAAGTAATATTTCAGATTTAATTTAAATGCTATTCAATGTGTTCTTTAATAACTGTACTCATTCTTTATTTACCACTTTTAAAAGTCATTTCTCAAGTGTTTTATGAAACCAGCTCCATTGCAATTTATTGTAATGTGTTTATTATTTGTGTTATTTAAACACTGTTATTTGTTTTACACCACTGATTTAATTTTCCATCACACTTTATTAAAATGTATAATTCACGTTATTAACAGACCATTAACAAACTATTAACTAAGACTTTTTAGTTTACTAATTACTTGATAGTAGTTAGGTTTAGATATTGGGTAAGATTAGACGCATAGAATAAGATCATGCTTTATACAGTTAAAGTCAGAATTATTAGCCCCCGTTTTAATTTTTTTCAGTTTTTGAATATTTTCCAAGGAAGGAAGGAAATTTTCAGAACATGTCTGATAATATTTTTTTCTTCTGGAGAAAGTCTTATTTGTTTTACTTAGGCTAGAATAAAAACAGTTTTTATTAAAAAAAAACAAAAAAAACATTTTAGGGTCAATATTATTAGCCCCTTTAAGCTATATTTGTTTTCGATTAGTCTACAGAACAAACCATCATTATACAATAAACTGCCTAATTACCCTAACCTGCCTAGTTAACTTGATTAACCTAGTTAAGCGTTTAAATGTCACTTTAAGCTGTATAGAAGTGTCTTGAAAAATAATAACCATTAATATCTTAAAGATAGGCAGGTACTGTAATAATACAGTTGTTAATGGTGTGAATTGTTACTAACATGTTACCTAATTTTCTTTAGGCTTACGGTATTGGCAGATAATGTAATCTTAATTTACAGAAAGTGTCTGTGAAATATCAGCACAAAACACAGCAAAAATATATAATACAGCAAAAAATGTATATAATACACCACGCTCTACAGACAATTGTTGGTCTGTTGCTTTAAATGCAAATGAGCTGCTGCTCCGCGCCCCCTAAGAGGGGGAGCCTTTACAGTCTGTGCCTCGGCCACCCAACAAACAAAACATTTATGCTTTTTTTTTACAGTCTTGCCAGTTTAAAGATGTAGAAATATCATATATTAGATGTGAAGGTAACCCGTTAAGGGTAGTTGACATTGTGAAAAGCATAATAAGATGTCGTTAAGGGATAGTTCACCCAAAAAATGAAAATCACCTCATTTATTCTCCCTCATGCGGTTTTAAACGTTTGATTTTTAATCTTCTGTTGAACACAAATAAGATATTTTGAAGAACGCTAGTTGCTGCTTGACTTCCATAGTAGGAATAGAAATACTATAGAAGCCAATGGGTGCCAGCATTTTTCAAAGTATCTTCTCTTGAATTCAACAGAAGGAAGAAACTCCAATAGGCTTTGAACAAGATAGACTATCCTTTAAAAACACAACAAAGGATTGGGGAGGAAATGTACCTAAATCCAACCTTTAAGTTTCCCCTTAAATTTTCATTGAAGTTATGTAAGAGCAGCTGACGTGTTAAATTTGGACACAATCGGTACATCAGCGAAACATCAATTGACTTTAACAGGGATTTAAGTATATTCAATCTAGGTTTATTTGTAGTGCTTTTCACAATAATTATTGATTCAAAGCGGCTTTACAAAAGGTCAATCAAAACCAGGAAAGTTAAGGTTTTTAGTTACCATGCATTTTTTATTACATACTAATAACTTTAACTAATATATTAATTAACTGACAGATAACTAATAGCTTTTAACAGTTTAAGTTATATATAAACATTAACCTGCAGTTATATAGTATATAGGTGATGTCTATGTGTAGATGTTCAATGAAGTCTATTAAGTTTATCTGTTGTCTTCGAAGTCTTCAGTGGTTGGCATCACCTCTTTACGGGTCTTGGATCTACAAGTCAGCTTATGTAATGTTCCTATAGCTCCTGTTAAGTATTGACTTTAATGTTGCTGTCAGTAATGTTCGCCCACCTGCGATGCTGCTCTCGGCTCCACCGCTACAGCTGGACTCATTGGCGTTAGCGCTCTTGCCTTCTGCATCTTTGTTTTTGGACACCACCACCACCGCCTGCTTCAGGGTCCGTGATTGTCTGAGGATCGCTGTGGCGTCGCTGTGCGTCACGTTCTTTAGCGTTTGGCCGTTGATGGACAAGACTTCATCTCCTTTTTCAATGGTGCCCTCCTGAGCTGCCAGACCACTGGGAAACACTCTGTGAACCTGAGGGGATGTAGATTGTGAGTAAATAACTATACAGTTGAAGTCAGAATTATTCACCCTACTGTGAATTTATTTTTAAATATTTCCCAAATGATATTCAGGGAATTTTTCACAGTATGTCTGATAATATTGTTTCTTCTAGAGAAAGTCCTGTTTGTCTTATTTCAGCTAGAATAAAAGCAGTTTTTATTTTTAAAGCCCATTTTAAGGTGAATATTATTAGCCCCCTTAAGCTATATTGTTTTTCTGATTGTCTACAGAACAAACCATCATTGTACAATAATTTGCTTAATTAACCTAGTTAAGCCTTTAAATGTTACTTTAAGCTGTATAGAAGTGTCTTGAAAAATATCTAGTCAAGTATTATTTACTGTCATCATGACAAAGATGAAATAAATCAGTTATAGGAGATGAGTTATTAAAACTCAGTTATTATAAATCAGTTATATAAATCAGTTATTATTATGTTTAGAAATGTGTTAAAAAAATTTCACTGTTAAACAGAAATTGGGGAACAAATATAGAGGGAGGCTAATAATTCAGGCGGAGCTAATATTTCTGGCTTCAACTGTATATTAGACTGTATAATATTTCTTGCTTGCATTAGCTGTAAACATTTTGTATTCACAGGTAAAGTGAAGCACATGAAGTTTGCATCTGTCCTGTAAGATACACTTCTGTTTAAATCACGGGGTCAATATAAGGCTTTGAAAAATGTTTTTGAAACGAGTCTTTTATACTCATGGAGGTAGAATTTATTTGATTAAAAACACATTAAAATACAAGTAATACAGTAATAAGGTTTTTCTATTTTAATATAAAAAATATATATTTTATTGCTGTGATGCAAAGCTGCATTTTTAGTATTTCATTTGTCCGATTTATTTATTTTTTTTCTCAAGAAACATTTTCATTTTATCATCATTATGATTTTAGATAGTCATAAGATCTTTTTCTCTATAAGTTTTTATCTTTCAGATAATATATTTAAAATATAATTTTTGAAACATATTTTGCTATTTTCTATGTTTTTTTTATCAGAATTTTTTTTATTTATTTATTTTTTAAGTAATAAGTTTGGGCGAAGCAGTGGCGCAGTAGGTAGTGCTGTCGCCTTACAGCAAGAAGGTCGCTAGGTCGCTGGTTCGAGCCTCGGCTCAGTTGGCGTTTCTGTGTGGAGTTTGCATGTTCTCCCTGCGTTTGCGTGGGTTTCCTCCGGGTGCTCCGGTTTCCCCCACAGTCCAAAGACATGCGGTGCAGGTGAATTGGGTAGGCTAAATTGACCGTATGAGTGTGTGTGTGTGTGGATGTTTCCCAGAGATAGTTGCGGCTGGAAGGGCATCCGCTGCCTAAACACTTCCTGGATCAGTTTTCCGGTTTATTTCGCTGTGGTGACCCCAGATTAATAAAGGGATTAAGCCAAAAAGAAAATGAAGAAATACGTTTTTTCATGGTAACACTATATTTCAAATATAGATTTTTAAAAATATTTTCCTTCATCTAGATGTTCTGCACTAATTTTTATTAGAATTTTTATTATTTTTTTTATTCTTTATATTTTAACTTCATAAAATGACATCTTTTTTTCAGGGTAACAATACACACACACACACACACACACACACACACACACACACACATATATATATACATATATATATACATATATATATATATATATACATATATATATACATATATATATATATATATATATATATATATATATATATATATATATATTTTTTTTTTTTTTTTTAATTTATTTATTTATTTATTTATTTATGTATTTAAAATGTTTTTTGTAAGATGTTTTTTTCTATTTTCTATTTGATTTTTTCTAAAGTCATAATATAACGTTTTTTTCAGGGTAACATAAATTTAAATATGTTTTAATTCTTGTAAGATGTTTTTCTATTTTCTATCTATTTTTTTTTTATCTAGATGTTCATCTAGATGTTCTGCTTGATAATATTTTATTTGATTCTTAAGAAACTATTTTTTATTTGAAATTTTTATTATTTATTAATGTTTAATAGATTCTAATAAATATAAGAATGTAATTAAAATAAAAAAACAAACTGACCCCAAAGTTATGATCAATAAGAGTGTTTTAATCCACCCAAAAAAGAGAATATACATCATAATTGAATCATCCTTATGTAATTTTGACCCAATATATCAGTATTTTGCGTTAGTTTCTTCTTATTTAATATTTTGAAATAAGTCGTCGTTCAAAAATGTTAATAATTTTCTGTTATGAGTTTGTAAGGATCAGAACAGCATAGTCATTGTGCACTTATAATAGTCCTTTCTGTCATTCATTCATTTATTTAGTCCCTTTACTCATCGGGGTCACCACAGCAGAACGAATCGTCAACTGTTTCAGCATATGTTTTAGCCGTGCCTTTTCAGCCGCAACCCAGAACTGGCAAACACCCATACACTCTCATTTACACACATACACTACGGTCAATTTAGCTTGCCCAATTCACCTATAGTGCATGTTTTTGGACTGTAGGGGAAACCGAAGCACCCGGAGGAATATCACGCCAACAATGGGAGAACATGCAAACTCCACACAGAAATGCCAACTGGCCTAGCTGTGACTTGAACCAGCAAACATCTTGCTGTGAGGCGACAGTGCTAACCATTAAGCCACCATGCCACCACATTGCAAAACCCATGTGCAAAGTTGCTTGAGAAATATGACACCTATGGCAGAAGGTTGATTATCATCGCTGACGTCAAGTCTGCTCCAAATGCTTATTCCTTAATAATGAATGAGATTTGAAGCATGCTTTCAACCTAAGCACAATCATATTTTGAGTTTCCATATGTCAGAAAGACATGAGGTTATGCAAATGACGATAAAACGTTAAGAGTCTGTCTCCTGTTGAAAGGTAAAGACTGTGGTTTATGGAGATATAGAGACGTCACTCACTGTAGTTGCTTTGTTCTCCAGATCAATACCACCGGCGATGCTGAAACCCAAGCCAGCTCCTTCTTCTTTATGTAGAATCACGACGTGGATGTCTTCCAGTTGCTAATGGACATTAAGAAACCAAAATCAGCTTTGTTTATAGAGTATCAGCGCTTCTAAAAACCTCTTTGTACTGCGAGAAGAATCTGAGTACTCTAAATCATTTAGCACAGCAGTTATTCTAGAACAATCTGCATGGGTTTATCGCTTTTGTAAGAACAGCTGCCTGATTGATGACTTCCAGACGGGCTAATGTTCCCGCTCTATTGCATCATGCCGTTTTCGAGAGAAATAGCTTTCCTGAGTTGGAATAGCATAGTATGTCATTCATAATTATTTTTAAAAAGTCTTAAAGGATGACATTTGTCTAAGCATGATTGTTTAGAAACATGATGATAGACATTTTGGTCACTTTATTTTAAGGTACAATTCTCACTATTAACCAAGCGGCAACCTCCTGCTCTCCTTCAGGAAGCCAATACGGAAGTAACTAAAACTGCAATTCATCCGAAATTCCGCTAGTACTGGCCGCTCCTGGCTCGAAAATAGAGCAAATTTCAATTGAGCCCAGTGTTAGAATGGCCAACTTTACAGCAGAAAAAAAGGTATTTACAACCTGGTGCAAAAAAAGATTTTGGTTCATATAGCTAATATTACCCTTCATGACAACTGTGAGGGGGGTGAATTTTTTTTATAACTCATCCGTTTCCTTTATATTAAGTTATATTAAGCCTGCATAATTAAGGGCGTGGCCACTTGAGTGACAGCTAGGTCTCGTTGGTCGCCGTCACGTCACCTCAGCTGAATCCTGCAGTTTAGCCACTGAACTCGGCGTATTTATCGTATTTCTGTGTTGTTTTATGTGGCTTTACACAGTCAACTGCCTTTTGGACTTGTTTCCTACAATTATTAGATGGCATGGCATGCTGAGTGCACTTCATTGTGCTCACAAACCATTCACATGGCCTCCGTTTCCCATGTGAGTAAAGTTATATACTTATTTACCATCTCTATACATGTATTTGTTTTAATTAAGATCATTTATCGTTTCTATTTATATTTAGAGCTGTAATGCACTTCAGAATCTGTCAGATTGATCAGCTGTAGGCTCTAGAACAGTCATCTGAAGCGTTGTCATACAGTGTTATGCTGGATTTCATCAATAGTCTTACATTAACTAACACAGACTATATCTGAAGTGTTTGGATGTAATTCGCGTTTTCCTCCTGTTTAAAAACGTCACAAGAACAATGTTTAGTGGCTCAATGTGTTACAGCAGTGTTTTTAAAAGTCTAAACACTTCATTGATATAGTATACAACCAAGCACAAGTGGACAGAAAACAAACGTGTCACAGGTGATAAAGTATTAAGCGTTCTCCCAAAGTAAAGTGTGTCTGAACCAGGTCCAAGCTAAATGCAAGCAGGTGTCTGTTGCTCCGCCCACTCTCCGCCTCTTTGCCCTTGTTTGGTATCCCGCCGTGGGTGTGATGACGCGCGAACAAAATGGCTACGGTGGGCCGCGCCTACTTGTGGCTTCTTTTGCACTCTTCAGAAACCTACGGGTGATGTCACGGATACTACGTCCATAAATTTTACAGTCTATGCTATTAACAAACCCTTTACTAAAACTTTAGATGATTAAACTACTCATTTATTTATGCTTATTAATAGATCTTGAGGTAGTAGTTGGGTTTTAGTATTGGGATGTATAATAAGACCACACTTAATGAGTACTAATAAACAGCTTTTTATACATCTTATTAATAGGTAGTTAATAAGCAAGCAGTTAATAGTGGAAATTGGTACTTAAACTAAAGTGTAATCAAATGTTTTGGTCATTTTTTGATCATGGTTGTCATTAGGGTTGGGTCGATAGACTATGCAATCGTCCATCGCTGATGGCCGATAGACATCATGATGAGCCGGCATCGCAATCCTCCACCCTGCCCCCTTTCGCAGCAGCAATAGTACACGATTAGGCCATGTGTACACTAATACAGCTTAGTTTTCAAACGGCATTTTAGAATAAAAATGATCCACATCCCCATCTAGCGTTTCTGAAAAGAACTCCGTCCACACTGTACCACTGTAAACGCACATCACATGACCACACACACACTCTGGCAAGCGCTGCAGCATATGCGCACGTCTGAGCTCCAGCAGTCAGCGGGTGCTTTGAGCACAAAACCCCAGAGAGCGGTACAAGTCGGACAGTTTATCAAGGATGTACCACTTGATCGCGTCTCACTATAGTTGTTAAAGGTGATATTTCATTAATCTTGTCTCTATCTAACGACTCTTCAGTCTTTTGAATCTATCAGGTAACGCGTCACAGAGTCAGTACTTCAGTCGTTCACACTTGTGCTTAGTAACATTAGCGAAAACCTCAGATACTGTTGGTTGGTTGCCGTTGGTTTTGCACCTTTTTTTTACCAACCAAGTTTGTTGATGCCATGGATAACTCTGCCTGTTCATGCCTCGTGGAAAAAAAAAAGTGATTGACAGGTGGTAATTTGTGTATAAATTATCTTTATTTATTCATGATTTGGTTATGGGGAAAACAAAGACCATGCGGGTCAGGTAGTTGCAAATAATTAATTTGTTATGAATAAATTAACTATTCATAAATGATTCATTTACAGCCACCTACAAAAACGATGCCATTGTCCATCGCAGTGTTTCACATTAGACCTCGCATTTGGTCGAAAATTGGTCGAAATCACCCAACCATAGTTGTCATCAGTTTTTATTTTAAGGTGTTTTTCGGCACTCATACTCAAGCAATTTTCAACAGCAATGAGCAGAATGAATATCACAAATATCACGTTATCAAAATCACTCTCTGACAGTAGATTGTCACAGCCATATCACCCTGCAGCCCAAGACCGGTTTCTCACTGAAGCTAAGCAGGGCTGAGCCTGGTTAGTACCTGGATGGGAGACCACTAGGGAACACTAGGTTGCTGTTGGAAGTGGTGTTAGTGAGGCCAGCAGGGGGCGCTCAACCTGTGGTCTGTGTGAGTCCTAATGCCCCAGTAAAAGTGAAGGGGACACTACACTGTCAGTGGGCGCCGTCTTTCGGATGAGACGTTAAACCGAGGTCCTAACTCTCTGTGGTCATTACAAATCCCATGGCACTTCTCGTGAAAGAGCAGGGGTGTAACCCCGGTGTCCTGGCCAAAGTCCCTCTATCGGCCCATACGATCATGGCCTCCCAATCATTCCCTTCCACCGAACTGGCTCTATCACTGTCTCTCCACTCCACCAATAGCTGGTGTGTGGTGAGCGCACTGGCGCCGTTGTCCTGTGGCTGCCTCCTCATGATTGTCAAGCGCTTTGGGTGTATGGCCATAGACAATAAATGCGCTATATAAATACACATTACATTACATTACATTACATAGATTGCGCTTAATGGAAAAACAGAAATACCTTGACACATTCAGACTCTAGAATACGCAAGACATTTCACTTGTATAGCTTTGAATGGGGAAAAATGTAACAGTCAATATGCCAAATGAAGCCCCGCCAACTAGTACAGAAGGCAATCAGCAATCGCTATAGACTGAAGATTCTCCAGAGGAGGGGCTCAGACCAGACATGAGTTTCTGCAGATTTTTGTGATTCGAATGTTTGGAAATTAAACTAAAGAGATGGTTGTTGTTTAATGTATTGGCAAGCAATTTTGGAGAATTTGATGTTTCCCCATTTAGACAGAATGCCAGAGCATACTGCCTGAGAAGCGTTGCAAAGATGGCCATCGATTGAATTGACTTGCCTTAAAAGGACTTTGGTACACTTTATAAATTCGCTCCTTGCACAGAAGGAGAGATACAGTGTTTACATGCATGTTAAAATCATTAACATGGTATTTGCTAGCTGGCAAACAATCTCCCTTCTTGTCGACGTTTTGTAGTTTTTGTTGCATTTATTATACGACTCATTGTATTGCATACATCTTGTCTTAGTACATCATCGTCATTAGGAATGTGTGCTCGTCTAGACTGTTTTGTGCTTGTTTTTGTTTACTATACAATATCAGCTCCAGGCCAGTGAACTAAAGAGTCAGTGAACTAAAATGGTTGACCCGTTTTAATGAAGCACGTTTGGCGCCCCTTTGTTTAGTCACAAGGTGTTAAACGGCGATAAATGCGAGCAACAGTCTTCCAGGTCAAATTAACTGTGAAACTGTAAACTTTAGGTCATTTCAATTTACATCAATTAAACTGACTTATAGGTGTGCAGTATGCAGGTTGCAGTATGCAACCTAATGGCTGAACTATGTATTCCAGTACATATTCGAAATATTAGATTAGAAAAGTAGAAATACTTATTAATCATTTGCGCCATTTGGATGTCGATAACAAATTAACTGTAACTTAACATCAATTAAACGGACATAAAGGTGTGCAGTATGTAAGCTTGAACTATGTATTGCAGTACAAATTCAAAATTTTAGATTAGGATATTAAATAGGGATTTATTTCACCTAGCCCCTTCTCCAAAGACTTGACACAAATGCAGGTTGCCAGACTGACAACATCAACAGAAGCGAGCATGCAACGATGATCGTACCTGATGCTGCGTTCACACTAGACACAGATGAAGTGTAAAGTGCGAGTATTTACATCTTAAATCAATGCAAAGACGCGAATAGACATTCTGTGCTGCGATTTGTGTGAATGATGCAATGCTCGAGTTGTAAAATCTGTAATTCAGTGGACATTCGCGCCGCATTAACCAATCATGAGCTTGCCAAGGGAGTGATTATGACAAAGTGCCTGTTGTTGGTATCCTGAGGGAAAATCCTCTTGCCAACACCGGACAACAGTTTATCAAACTGGGCTCAGCTATTTCTGGGTGCACCTGTGAAAAGATCTAGCGGACTCAGACACAGCACCGAACAAATCTACGCTGTTTATCAGCCTTCCTAAAGCACATAAAGCACAGCTACTATCTCAAATAAATCTATGTTAGCCATTTAGCATTGCCGGACAGACAAAAGCCCTGCCCATGACACGAATCTGCATCTATTTTGAAGTGAATTTGATACGCAAATGAAGTGAGTAAACTCAACACAAGGCAATGCAAGTTTATTTATATAGCACAATTCATACACAGTGGCAATTCAAAATGTTCACGCGTCTATTTACGCGTGCCGTGTCTGGTGTCCACACAGAATTATACTGTAATCTGCTCAGCTAATGTTTAAGTTTGATATATTTGTATTGTTTGGAAATTAACCCACCTCCTAGATTTTTACCGTTTTGAATTTGTGCTATTGAAGCAGCCTCCATGTCTAAAATGAAATACACTTCATTTTCTACCAAGGAATTCTTGGGTGGCTAAATGTAATTGGGTAAACTTGAAGTGTGTGGAGTTACACAGACCAAAACAAAGACAGACTAGCCATGTGGTTTTCAGATAAATAAGTATGCTCGGCATGTTTTTATATCTGCAAGCATATTATGTTATATATATATGCTTTAGAAGAGTCAAAAACGTACACACAGCCCCATTAATGCATCTGTCAGCACCAAAAAAATAAAGTTAAAACGTGATTATATTATTAAAATAACCTAAAGTAACATAAAAAAACATGTTAAAAGATGTTGATCATATAATACTTGACAGTGTTCAGAATATTGATGATGACTGCGCTTCATCAAATATGTTATGTATTTATGCAAGCTTGCATAAGTACAGTTCAGGTACACAGATTTTGCAATGATGGAATTGCCATGTAACCTATGATGTCAACCTCATCGCTGATATTCATTATTCACAAATCTTCTCAAATGGCCTTATGGGATAGTAAAGTGTTCGTCAGATGCACACTTCAAAATCCCTGTGGAAATAGCGGATAATCTGTCAAACCACAGGACCATTTAAAATAAACTACAGTGAAGCTTCTTTGATTCAAGGGATTGGGTCCATAATCCAGCCCTGCCAACTGTGCTAAAGAGGAGTGATTAGCTGAAGTAGTATTGTGAATTTATTTATGTAGCTAATAGAAGAAAAAAAAAACAGCCACACTCTTATGAAATGTCTGAAGAAAAAAAAACGTCTTGTTTTTCCGCATTTCACTTTCACAACACAAACGGACATTGTGCAAGGGCATGTGAAACAGTTTCTCACTAACCTGAAGGAATACAGACAGTATTGTTTGCTTGCAAACATAAATATCAATAAGGGAATTGGTCATAAATGCAAAACAGGGTAAAGTCTATAGGGATACAGTTTGGATACTTGAACATGACAATATGCAACAATAATGACTGTTTTTACATTACTGTGAGGGATAGGTTTAGGGCTGGGGTAGGTGTAGACGTTAATAAAACAAAATGTATTGGGCCATTTAATAAATAATTCTCATTAACTGACCATCTGGAGTTGTATTCTTCTAGAAACATCTGCAAAAAGGCAGCAAACAGCACCCTTTGCAACATTTCCTTGGTCAGGAAGTCACACTATTGACCAAGAGTTGCATATTTTATTATGTCTAAACCAACTCTCTAAACAAGTGAGCTTCACCAACTGTTTCTTCATAGAGAACCGATTGTTCTTCTGTCAAACCTCTCATACGTATTCAGGTTTGCAGAGCAGGAAGTGGAAGTAATCACCGACAGACAATAGCCGACAACATTTACCGGCCTTATGATTATCAAACCAGAGCTAAACCCACCCTTAGCGTGTCTTCATCCAGGTCCTTCACTTCCTGAATCATCCGCTGGATCTCCGGTTGCGGAAGGACAGAGAGCATGGATTGGGCACAGGCGGCTGAGGCTGAAGTGAGGGCTTGTTCAGGTTTCCAGTCGTCCGTCTTGCACTCCTCTCCTCTCTCAATGGTACGCTCTCTTAATTCAGCCAAGCTGTGGACCAGATATAAATGAACTTGTTTTAAAGTGCCTGATTTGGGGGAGTTAACCCTGCTGCTCTTGGAGGACTAATATCCTTTAGAGTTTAGCTAACCATAACACCTCAACCAATGAATTAAGACAATCAGGATTACTTGAAATTATATGTTGGACCAGGAGCAAGGATGGTCACCCTTGATTTGAAGCAAAAGTGGAAATCCAATTTCCTCTAAGACAGGGGTGCCCAAACTTGGTCCTGGAGGGCCGGTGTTCTGCAGATTTTAGCTCTGAACACACCTGCATGGATGTTTCTAGAAAGCCCAGTAAGAGCTTGATTAGCTAGCCCAGGTGTGTTTAATTAGGGTTGGAACTAAACTTTGCAGGACACCGACCCTCCAGGACGTTTGGGCACCCCTGCTATAGGACCACAGCTCATATCCTAAATAAGGGGTCACCAAACTTGGTTGGTGTCTTGCAAAACTTAGCTTCAATTTGCCTCAACACACCTGCATGGAAGTTTCTAGAAAGCCTAGTAAGAGCTTAACTAGACAGTAAAGTTCGTCGAGACAAACTTTGAGGCTGGCTTGACAAAGCCTGTTGGTAATAGTTTATTTAGTTTAAAAACAGTTTGAAAAAGTATAAGTAGCATGTTATTAGCATGATTCTAGCATGAATTAGCATGATTCTAGCATCGATTAGCATGTTATTAGCATGAGTGTAGTACAAATTTGCATTTTATTAGCATGATTCTAATATAAATTAGCATGTTATTAGCATGCTTTTAGCATGAATTAGCATGTTACTAGCATGATTCCAGAATAAATTAGCATGTCACTAGCATGATTCTAGTATGATTTAGCATGCTACTAGCATGATTCTAGTATGAATTAGCATGTTACTAGCATTATTCTAGCATAAATTAGCATGTTACTAGTATGATTCTAGCATGAATTAGCATGTTACTAGCATGATTCTAGCATGCATTAGCATTTTACTAGCATGATTCTAGTATGAATTAGCCTGTTACTAGCATGATTCTAGTAAGATATAGCAGGTTATTAGCATGATTCTAGCATGAATTAGCATGATTCTAGTATGAATTAGCATGTTACTAGAATGATTCTAGCATAAATTAGCATGTTACTAGTATGATTCTAGCATGAATTAGCATGTTACTCGCATGATTCTAGCATGAATTAGCATGTTATTAGCATGATTATTGTATGAATTAGCATGATACTAGCATGATTCTAGCGTGAATAAGCATGTTATTAGCATGATTCTAGCATGCATTAGCATGTTACTAGCATGATTGTAGTATGAATTAGCATGTTATTAGCATGATTCTAGTATGAATTAGCATGTTATTAGCATGATTGTAGTATGAATTAGCATGTTACTAGCATGATTCTAGTATGAATTAGCATGTCACATAGCATGCTTAAGTAGTTGCTAGGGTATTCTGAGTGGTTGCTAAGTCATTGCTAGGCAGTTGCTAGGGTGTCCTGAGTGGTTACTAGGTGGTTGCTAAGATGTTGCTAGGCGGTTGCTAGGGTGTTGCTAGGTGGTTGCTATTGTGTTCTGAGTGGTTGCTAGGTGGTTGCTAAGGCATTGCTAGGCGGTTGCTAGGGTGTTCTGAGTGGTTGCTAGGTTGTTGCTAGGCAGTTGCTAGGGTGCTCTGATTGGTTGCTAGGTGGTTGCTAAGGTCTTGCTAGGCGGTTGCTAGGGTGTTCTGTGTGGTTGCTAGGTGGTTGCTAGGTGGTTGCTAGGGTGTTCTGAATGGATGCTAGGTGGTTGCTAAGGTGTTGCTAGGCGGCTGCTAGGGTGTTCTGAGAGGTTGTTAGGTGGTTGCTAAGGTGTTGCCAGGTGGTTACTATGGTGTCCTGAGTGGTTGCTAGGTGGTTGCTAAGGTGTTGCTAGGCGGTTGCTAGGGTGTTCTAAGTGGTTGCTAGGTTGTTGCTAAGGTGTTGCTAGGTGGTTGCTAGGGGGTTCTGAGTGATTGCTAAGGTGTTGCTAGACGGTTGCTATGGTGGCCCAAGTGGTTGCTAAGGTGTTGCTAGGTGGTTGCTAAGGTGTCCTAAGTGGTTGCTAGGTGGTTGCTAAGGCGTTGCTAGGCGGTTGCTAGGTTGTCCTGAGTGGTTGCTAGGTGGTTGCTAAGGTGTTGCTAGGTGGTTGCTAGGGTGTCCTGAGCGGTTGCTAGGTGGTTGCTAAGGCATTGCTAGGTAGTTGCTAGGGTGTTCTGAGTGGTTGCTAGGTGGTTGCTAAGGTGTTGCTAGGCGGTTGCTAAGATGTCCCAAGTGGTTGCTAGGTGGTTGCCAAGGTGTTGCTAGGTGGTTGCTAGGGTATTCTGAGTGGTTGCTAAGGCGTTGCTAGGCGGTTGCTAGGGTGTCCTGAGTGGTCGCTAGGCCCTTACTAAGGCATTACTAGGCCGTTGCTAGGTGGTTGCTAGGCGGTTGCTAGGGTAATTTGGGTGGTTGCTAGGCAGTTGCTAGGGTACCCTGGTTGGTTACTAGGCAAGCCTTACATACATGCTTGATAAAACATTTATACTTAGTAAGCATTTCTAGCAAGTTACAGTACTTGGCTAGTCAATATTAGCATGTAGCTAATCACTGCTAGCATGTGTAGCATTTAGGAAGTTCCGTTTGCTAGCATGAGTCAAACGAGCCAATCTCCAAGTCTCTACGATGTTCTGATGCTGAGATATAGCTGTTGATGAATGGTTGCTAGGGTACTCTGTTTTGTTGCTATGGGCGAGGTTACAGAGTGCACTTGAATGTGGTTGGCTGTCTAAGTAAAATGAACCAACCCCCATGTCTGTATGACACTGCTATGCAAAAATATGCATCTTGGCCTATTTTAATGGAAGTCTATGGAATCAATTTGGGGGCGTGGCTTGTGAGCTTCATTATCATATTGAGATGCTCATTGGTTGTCTGAGTCAGATGAGCCATCCCCCAAGTCAATAGGACACTGCTAAGCAAAGATATGCATGTAGGCCAGTTATTAACATGAGTCTAGTATGAATTAGCATGTTACTAGCATGATTCTTGTACAAATTAGCATGTCATTAGCATGTTTCAAGTATGAGTTAGCATGTCATTAGCATGATTAGCATATGAGTAGCATGTTGCTAGCATGATTGGCATGTCATTAGCATGTTAGAATTATAAGCATTCGATAGCACACCTAATTACATTCTATAGGACAGTTGCTAGGGTGCAGTATGTGGTAGTTAGGGGTGTGGCTAGAAAGTTAAAAGGCCATCAGTGATTGGCTGCTGGCTAGACTGAGTTAAATGAGCTCAGCCATTAGTCTCTATGACAGTCTGATGCAGAGTTATGAGCTCACAAAGTTTGATCCCATGTTAAGTCAATGAGAGTTTTTTGTAATGGAAGTCTACGGGACAGTTGCTAGGGTGCAGTATGTGGTAGTTAGGGGTGTGGCTAGAAAGTTAAAAGCTCATCAGTTATTGGCAGTTTGGTAGTCTGAGTTAAATGAGCTCAGCCATTAGTCTGTATGACAGTCTGATGTAGAGTTATGAGCTCACAAAGTTTGATCCCATGTTAAGTCAATGAGAATCTTTTGAATGGAAGTCTACGGGACAGTTGCTAGGGTGCACTATGTGGTAGTTAGGGGAGTGGCTAGAAAGTTAAAAGCTCATCAGTTATTGGCAGTTTGGTAGTCGGAGTTAAATGAGCTCAGCCATTAGTCTGTAAGACAGTCTGATGCAGAGTTATGAGCTCATAAAGTTTGATCCCATGTTAAGTCAATGAGAGTCTTTTGAATAGAAGTCTATGGGACAGTTACTAGGGTCCAAAAGTGGTTGCTAGGGCGTGGCTAGAAAGTTTAAAGGTGATCAGTCATTGGCAGTTTGATAGTCTGAGTTAAATGAGCCCAGTTAGAAGTCTGTGCGACAGTCTGACGCAGAGTTATGAGCTCACAAAGTTTGATCCAATGTTAAGCCTATGGGATTTTTCCGACAGTCCCGGGACGTTTTTCGGAAAACCGAAAGTCGGATCAGTTTGAGGAGATATAGCAACACGAGTCAGAATAGTTTGGAGGTCTGGAGCAAGTTTGGTGGTAATAGCTTAAAAGCTCTAGGAGGAGATAGAGTTAGAAATTTAGTCTCAGAAGATTAATAAAAAAAAAAATAAAAAAAATAATAACTAGACAGTAAAGTTCGTCGAGACAAACTTTGAGGCTGGCTTGACAAAGCCTGTTAGTAATAGTTTATTTAGTTTAAAACAGTTTGAAAAAGTATAAGTAGCATGTTATTAGCATGATACTAGCATAGATTAGCATGTTATTAGCATGAATTAGCATCTTATTAGTACGATTCTAGCATGGATTAGCATGAATTAGCATGATTCTAGCACGATTTAGCATGTTACTAGCATAATTCTAGCATGAATTAGTGTGTTATTAGCATGATTGTAGTAAAATTAGCATGTTACTAGCATGATTCTAGCATGAACTAGCATGTCACTAGCATGATACTAGTATGAATTAGCATGTCACTAGCATGAGTCTAGTATGAATTAGCATGTTACTAGCATGATTCTAGTATAAATTAGCATGTTATTAGCATGATTCTAGCATGAATTAGCATGTTACTAGCATGATTCCAGTATGAATTAGCATGTCACTAGCATGAGTCTAGTATGAATTAGCATGTAACTAGCATGATTCTAGTATAAATTAGCATGTTATTAGCATGATTCTAGCATGAATAAGCATGTTACTAGCATGATTCTAGCATGAATTAACATGTTACTAGCATGATTCTAGTATGAATTAGCATGATTCTGGTATGAATTAGCATGTTATTAGCATGATTCTAGTATGAGTTAGCATGTTATTAGCATGATTCTAGCATGAGTTAGCATGTTACTAGCATGATTCTAGTATAAATTAGCATGTCACTAGCATGATTCTAGGATGAACTAGCATGTTACTAGCATGATTCCAGTATGAATTAGCATGTTATTAGCATGATTCTAGCATGAATTAGC